AAAGCCTACGAGACTCACCGTGCGCCGTGAATTTAATCACACTTGGGTCGATTTTACCCGCCCAATTTACTGCTTGTACGGAATTCACCAGCAGCAAGGTGACTGGCCAGACAGGATTTCCTGAGTAAACGTCTAGAATCCGCCAGAATGACTACCGGGTTCACTTACTTGTTAGAGGGGTTTGGCAGATTTGCTTAATTCAGCTGACCCAATTCTAAGGCAGTTGAGAGGGTAATTGCAAGAAATGCGTTGAGAAAAACGCATCTATGTCACCTGTTTGCTTTATCATCCCAACGACCTATCGGAATAGAATGTACAACCTGAAAGATGCAAACGAAGAGCGTGTAAACAGGTGGAAAAGGGGCATTTCGTTGGGTAAAACGGTGTGCGGCAGGCAATCGTAGCCCTCGAACTCTGATATTAGCTCGAACTGTTAAGTCAGTTCGTAAGCTTAATCGCAATCTTTGTCCTAACATAACGTGTGTATGAAAATGAAATCAGCAGACATGACCTAGGAGGGAATCCTAAATGGGGCCAAATATGCTTCCCTTATCCCATCGGTGCTAAGACGACATTTTTTGGGAGCTATAAAATGTATTCTTCAACGTACAGCAACAACTGATGCCAGATTATCCGCTGTCCTCGTGCATCAGTCTGTTACAATGTCTTCCTGGTCACAATTTAGCAAGTCCTGCCACAAAAGTGCAGATTTAAATTGCCCTGAACCAGCAGTCGGGTTGATTTGCGACCATTAGTATCGTCATTCCGAGCTGCATACGAGAGATGGGGCATACTTAATTTGACTTAAGTAGTTGCCTATCAGCGGCCAAATATCGACCATTGGTTGAAGATTGGTCACGGGACTCACTTGTCAAGTTCTGCCTTGAGGCTCGCTCTCGAGCCCCGCCAGCAGCCGCATATCCAATAGTATTATTGGCAGATGAACACTGCAGAAAAGATAGAGAGGGCTGGAATGACAATTTCTGACTCATTAGACGTCATAAGTCAAACATACCCAGACCCAGGTGGTACACCATCCGAAGTTTGAAGCTTGTGATCTGTTAATTAGAAATCCAAACGCTCTGACCCACTGCACCACGGGCTTATATTCTTGCCAGTTTAGCTTGAGAACATTGAGATTATTGGATAAACGCTCGCCAATTGGTTACTGGACTCCGATATCCCGATCGGCTTTGGGCTCACTCTCGCCCACTTCATCTAGGGCAAAAAAACTGTGTGCGGCTACTCAAACGTAGCAGTTCTTAGAAATAAACTATTTAATCATATCTCATCTACATTCGCAGAGTTTCTGTTGCCGCCCAACTGTCATGCATCGCTTCCCAGTCTACTTTAACTTCCTTCCTATATCTGCCATAGTTAAACTCAAAGGAATCGTCTGATTGTTTCCTTTCAAGTTGCAGTAGCATGCGGCGGTAGATAAGGCTAGATCGACTTTAAGTACAGATGCTAAGTTCGATCCGTCCAATAAGCGACGTCAATCAGCCATGATGAGTGCTTTATTTGTTACATGAGGCAAGCTGCTGTGAGATGGCTGTTTGCTTGTGTGGCCGAA